AGTGATTCCGGTTTGGTGGCCTCAGGATTCCATCTCTGCTTTTTGCAGATGATGTGGTTCTGTTGGTGTCATCATGCTGTGATCTTCAGCTCTCACTGGAGCGGTTCACAACTGAGTGTGAAGCGGCTGGGATGATAATCTGCACTTCCAAATCTGAGGCCATAGTCCTCAACCGGTAAAGGGTGGATTGCTCTCTTCAGGTCCAGGGTGAGGTTCTGCCTCAAGTGGAGGAGTATCTTGGGGTTTTGTTCACGAGTGAGGGGAGAATAACACGCGAGATTGGCAGACGGATTGGTGCAGCATTAGCAACATTGCAGACTCTGTATCAGTTTGTTATGGTGAAGAGGGAGCTGAGCTGACAAGCAAAGCTCTCCTTTTACCCGTCAGTCTACGTTCCTACCCTCACTTATGGTCACAAGCTCTGGGTAGTGACCGAAAGAATGAGATTGTGTATACAAGTGGTTGAAATGAGTTTCCTCTGCAGGGTAGCTAGACTCTCCCTTAGAGATAGGGTGAGAAGTTCAGTTATCAGGAGGGACTCTGAGTCAAACCGCTGCACCTCCACATCGAGAGGAGCCAGTTGAGGTGGTTTGGGCATCTGGTAAGGATGCCCCCTGGATGCCTCCCTAGGGAGGGGAGAATATAAGATGGAGCTAGGTTGTTGAGAGCTTTTTAGGTTGGAAGTAAGATTTTGAATTCTATTCTGTATTTGACAGGGAGCCAGTGGAGAGAAATTAAAACTGGAGAAATACGATCTCTTCTACTAACTCCAGTTAAGACTCTGGCAGTAACATTTTGGATCAACCGAAGACGTTTTAAAGAAGTATTTGGACACCCAGATAATAAACCATTGCAATAGTCCAGTCTAGATGTGACAAATGTATGGACCAGTTTTTCTGCATCATTTTTAGATCAGATGTTTCTAATTTTAGTGATTATTATGCAGGTGGAAGAAGACAGTTCTAGTAATGTTTTTAATGTGGGGGATAAAAGACATGTCCTGATGAAAAAGTAACACCAAGATTTTTAACATTAGAGCTGGAGGCCAGATTAATGCTATCTAAGGAGGGAGAAAGACTGAAAAATTACATCCTAAGGTGCTCATGTCCAAAAACCAAAACCTCAGTCTTGTCTGTGTTCAAAAGGAGAAAATTAAGGGTCATCCAGGTTTTTGTCTTTAAGACATGCTTGTAGTCTAAGTAGCTGATTAAATTCATTTGGTTTAATGGACAAATATAATTGTGTGTCATCAGCATAACAATGAAAATTTATCCCATGCTGTTTAATAACTTTACCTAATGGAAGCATATACAGGTCCTTCTAAAAAATTAGCATATTGTGATAAAGGTCATTATTTTCCATAATGTAATGATAAAAATGAAACTTTCATATATTTCAGATTCATTGCACACCAACTGAAATATTTCAGGTCTTTAATTGTTTTAATACTGATGATTATGGCATACAGCTCATGAAAACCCAAAATGCCTGTCCCAAAAAATTAGCACATTTCATCCCACCAATGAAAGACAAGTGTTTTTAATACAAAAAACGCCAACCTTCAAATAATCATGTTCAGTTATGCACTCAATACTTGGTCGGGAATCCTTTTGCATGAATGACTGCTTCAATGCGGCGTGGCATGGAGGCAATCAGCCTGTGGCACTGCTGAGGTGTTATGGAGGCCCAGGATGCTTCGATAGCGGCCTTAAGCTCATCCAGAGTGTTGGGTCTTGCGTCTCTCAACTTTCTCTTCACAATATCCCACAGGTTCTCTATGGGGTTCAGGTCAGGAGAGTTGGCAGGCCAATTGAGCACAGTAATACCATGGTCAGTAAACCATTTACCAGTGGTTTTGGCACTGTGAGCAGGTGCCAGGTCGTGCTGAAAAATGAAATCTTCATCTCCATAAAGCTTTTCAGCAGATGGAAGCATGAAGTGCTCCAAAATCTCCTGATAGCTAGCTGCATTGACCCTGCCCTTGATAAAACACAGTGGACCAACACCAGCAGCTGACATGGCACCCCAGACCATCACTGACTGTGGGTGCTTCACACTGGACTTCTGGCATTTTGGCATTTCCTTCTCCCCAGTCTTCCTCCAGACTCTGGCACCTTGATTTCCGAATGACATGCAAAATTTGCTTTCATCCGAAAAAAGTACTTTGGACCACTGAGCAACAGTCCAGTGCTTCTTCTCTGTAGCCCAGGTCAGGCGCTTCTGCCGCTGTTTCTGGTTCAAAAGTGGCTTGACCTGGGGAATGCGGCACCTGTAGCCCATTTCCTGCACACGCCTGTGCACGGTGGCTCTGGATGTTTCTACTCCAGACTCAGTCCACTGCTTCCGCAGGTCCCCCAAGGTTTGGAATCGGCCCTTCTCCACAATCCTCCTCAGAGTCTGGTCACCTCTTCTTGTTGTGCAGCGTTTTCTGCCACACTTTTCCCTTCCCACAGACTTCCCACTGAGGTGCCTTGATACAGCACTCTGGGAACAGCCTATTCATTCAGCAATTTCTTTCTGTGTCTTACCCTCTTGCTTGAGGGTGTCAATTATGGCCTTCTGGACAGCAGTCAGGTCGGCAGTCTTACCCATGATTGCGGTTTTGAGTAATGAACAAGGCTGGGAGTTTTTAAAAGCCTCAGGAATCTTTTGCAAGTGTTTAGAGTTACGTCGTTGATTCAGATGGTTAGGTTAATAGCTTGTTTAGAGAAACTTTTCATGATATGCTAATTTTTTGGGACAGGCATTTTGGGTTTTCATGAGCTGTATGCCATAATCATCAGTATTAAAACAATTAAAGACCTGAAATATTCCAGTTGGTGTGCAATGAATCTGAAATATATGAAAGTTTCATTTTTATCATTACGTTATGGAAAATAATGACCTTTATCACAATATGCTAATTTTTTTAGAAGGACCTGTATAAAGTAAAGAGTATTGGCCCAAGCACTGAGCCCTGAGGAACTCCATGACTAACTTTGGTGTATGAAGAAGATTTATTATTTACTTTTACAAACTGGAATCTATCAGATAAATAGGATTTTAACCATTTTAGAGCTGTTCCTGTAATCCCAATATCATATTCAAGCCTCTGTAGTAAAATATAGTGATCAACTGTATCAAATGCAGCACTGAGGTCTAACAGGACCAGTATAGACACAAGTCCATTGTCTGAGGCCATGAGAATATCATTAGTGACTTTTACTAGTGCTGTTTCTGTGCTATGATGAGCTCTAAACCCTGACTGAAACTCTTCAAACAGATTATTTATTTGTAGATGTTCACGCAACTGACCTGCAACTATTTTCTCTAGAATTTTTTAGATGAAAGTTGGATTAGATATAGGTCTATAGTTGGCCAGAATTTCTGAATCAAGATCAGACTTCTTAAGTAAAGGTTTAATTACAGCAACCTTAAAGCGCTGTGGTACATAAACATCCATTAAAGACAAATTAAGTAGATCCAAAATGGTATATAGTTTATTCATTTAAAAAAAAAATGTGGACATTAATTAGGGGAAATACCTCTTTAAACAGTCTGGTTGAGATGGGATCTAGCAGGCATGTGGATGGTTTGGATGAGGTTATTATTTTTGACAATTCAGAGCTCAACAGGACAAAAACTGTCCAAATATAAATCAGGCTCTAGTGAAATTTTTAAAGTTGCCTCATTTGACAGGGGACTAGAGCTAGTAGAAGGAAGGATGGTTTGAATTTTCTCTCTAATTTAAATAATTTTATTTATAAAGTATCTCATGAAGTCATCACTACTTATAGTTGTAGTCTATACAAGCCACTGAGGCTACAACTGAAGAAGGATTGATGAGGTAGCACCTACAGTCCTCTAAATGATCAATGTTGGGCCAGTTACTGGTTTTTAGGTGATGTCTGAGTCGAGACATATCAAAACCACTTGGATGCTGAATTTGATTTCTTGGAGACTTTCAGACTGGAGAGTCAGTGAAAGTGCATTACAATTTATAGTGAGGTTTTATGGGGGAATGCAGCCATTAAAACCAACTCTTACTGTAAAACTGCTCTGAGTGAAGGGGTCATTTTTTCCCATTGACTTGTAGGTATACATTAACAGAGCTTCTGATGATACTCCCTGTAGATCCAGAACACTGGTAATCCCACATGGTATACGCAAATAAACCCTCCAGCTTTGTGATAAGTCTCCAGGAGCCAAGCTGATAGAGAGGTGTTATCAGTTTTAAGCTGCTCAGTTTGTTTTGGGATTGTTTTTTTCCACATCCTATTATAAAGACATTTGTCTTGACTCTTGGACATTTGGAAAAACTAAAACTTAGGCAAGCTATTCAGGAATTTCATTTGAGTTTAGTATCTGAGTTGTAGCACAACCTTAGCTGAAGCCTGCAGTCAGTTCACAGGCACTGCAGCCAAGCTCTCTTCCTTAGAAAACTTTTGGCTGCGTCTCCTCACAGCTATAAATCTTACTCTTGGCATTTATGGATGTTTTCGAAGCGCAAAGGGGAGATGCTAGTGGGTGTGTATGTACGTGCATGCACAGCAGGACTTCTGGCCACGAGCAGTTCCTGGAAGCAAAGCTTCCGCGTTCTTCTTTTTCCAGGAAAAAGGGAAGATTTATAATTTGTCTTTTTTGCCCTTCCCTTTCTCCTCTGCAGCTTTTGTATCTTCAGGCTGTTTTAATTTAGACAATGTGTGAGGAGCAGGACATCGTGTCTGCAGATGTAAAAATTATAGATGCTGTCATTTTTCTTTAAAATAATGTTTTGGACAGAACAGGGTGATGTGTTTCATGTAACAAAAGTGTATGTTGTGGGGTTGTCAATGATGGAGATGACAGGGAGAGACGATGGTAGCCTGAACATGTGACTTGATGGTACTTTAGGGCAGAGGCATGAACTTTATTTGACCATTTGAACTCTAAAATTGCCAACTTCCCTGTGTCATTACAAACGTGTTTTACATTGTCCCCCCAAATAAAAATATTTTTTTTGTTTCTTTTTTTTTTGACAGGAAAAGATGGAGCACACTTCCACTCGCCGACCTGAGGAGCTGATTGTTTCGGGCTATCAACGCTCAGCCAACCAAGCTTTGCCACATCACAATGGTAACTTACTGGTCATAAACGCAACACCACGCTCCAGATTTATTGTGAAATTTCAGAAGAACTGTTTAAAACAAATCTTCAAACCCATTATCTACATTATGAAGACTAAAAAAAGCACATGTAAGGGTTGTTTTGGCCCCCATCACTCGGTGCTACCCTTTCTGTGTCTTGAGAAAATGTATATGGATTGTCTTTACTTGTTCTCAGGCGAGGACTTCAGGTGCAAATAAAAAAGCTACGAGTTTACGATTACCCATGATAGTGTTAAAGGTTGTGCCATTGTGGTGGTCGAAGCATATATACAATTTGGAGCACACTAGCATGGCTTGGCTATCAAGAATCTGAAACACTGGTTACACTGGTCTCTGCTACAACCATGAATGTGTCAAGCTCATTGAAACAATTTTTATCACCGATGTGGTGCCAGTGGCATTAGTCATGCTAGGATGTTGGGATCTTCTAGCATGTAGCTGCATCTTGGCATGGTTCAAGATGTTTTTGATGGGATGGGGATGAAGGAGAACATACAACAAAGTTCTTTCAGACCCAAAAATAATATGTTGCTGTCTTAAGTACTCATTCTGACATACCCCCATCTCTTTAACCTTTTGCCTCCTTCACTGCAGTGAGGGAAAGGCCAGATGAATCTGTTCTCACCATGTTTGGCTGCACCTCCGGGGCGGCTGTGGCTGAGTGGTTAGAGCAGTTGTCCTCCAATGCAAGAGTTGGGGGTTTGATTCCCCCAGCAGTCACATGCCGAAGTGTCCCTGTGCAAGACACTGAACCCCTCATTGCCTCCGATGTGTGTCCCATCGGTGTATGAATGTGATAAAGCTCTGATAAGTCTTTGTAGAGATCTAGTAGGGTGCTGTACCAATGGATAAATGAGGGCACAGATTGTTGTAAAGAGCTTTGAGTGTATTGATCAGATAGAAAGGAGTTATATAAGTACAGTCCACTTACCTTCTTCTCCCCAACAGTTTGATGAAATGTTAAGAAAAGTCCTGCCATCTCCAGTGTTTGTTGCAGTTAAAATAATTGTAAGGGTAAAACGACACAGACGCACAAAATACACCAATTGATGTTTTGTAAATCAAATTGTTTGGTGATTTATATATTTATTTGTGTCCCAATTGCAGAAACGCTGAGGGAATTGGGCGGGGATCATGCATGTTTAGTTTCCTTCATGTTTCTCCTATTCATACCTGTCTTTACAGATTTTTATAAAGCCCATATTTTATTTGTTGACTTCACTGACTTTCTAGACATTTCTCCCTCTGCTATTTCTGTCATCCGCTCCATCTAGGAAACTCTCCCTTCATCAGCAGATGCTCTACTCTTTAGAGGTCTTTTAACAAGTATTAAGTTTCCTCCCACCCTATTGCACACAAACACCCCCCCACCCACACCCCCATAAATCCCTTCAGGCATTGTGGAAAATCCTTAAAGTAACCAGCTTGAGTCCAGAGCTCTTTTTATTTTTTTTGTGGTTTATTGGATTGAACTTCACTGCTGATGTTTGCTCACGAGGCAGTAAATGTAGCATTACATGATTGGAAATATGAGTTGGGGTCTTTACCGCAGCCCGTTGGTCAACCAGTTCAGGGGAGAAAAGAGTTTATAGTAAGTAGGTCATAGGTCATTGGTGCAGATTGAAGGTAAAGCGGGTTCAAACTCTTAACACAAGCAGTGACCTTAGTGGAATCATAAGAGGTTTTCTACAATCCCATGGGGACGTATAAACTTCTGGTCCAAATGTTACTTGGCTTTTTTTCCTCCTCCTGTTATCCTCCTAATGCAGATAACTAATGAATTTTATATGGAGCGGGTAAAGATGATGGATAGATGGTTGATTTATTTCAATTGCTTCTCCAATCATAGCATTTAGGTCATGGGTTTGCAACCTTCACTACCAAAAATGTTTTATTTTAATATTAAAAGGGAACAAAAGTGTTATACTCTGACATAAGGAACTAAAACTGTTGGCATTGGTCAGTAGTTTAATAATTTAAGAAAAAATAATAAGATAAAGAAAAAGCTGCACTTTTCTGTTGTGAGTCATTTCTTTATTTGTGCAAAAAGAAAAGTACCTTGCTTTGTAATAACTAATAAATTTGCATACTCCGTGTTTCCTCTAGTTAACTTGCCATAACGGGGTGCTCATCTCATCCATGATTTTTGTTGACGGGGGGGATGGACACATGTCTGAGCACAGCAGTTTTTGAGTGGGGGCGGGGGGTGTTCAGCTTGAGGGAAGAGGCAACGTGAGTGCTGCCTTTAGCTTTTTAGC